ACTATTAGTTTATTCTTTTTTATAGATTTTGATCACTTCATTAAAAACATAAAGGGTATCATTATCAATATACTATTGATTTAAAAATATATATATGAATTAAACTTAAACGATTATTATTACATTGCTAAAAACATTTATCTCATAATATATAGATTAAATTAAAAATATATATATGAATTAAACTTAAATGATTATTATTACATTGCTAAAAACATTTCTCTCATAATATATAGATCAAATATTTTCAACTATTAATTGAGATATCTTGCTTTATTTAATATGATCATACGTGAATATTTTTAGGGTATATTTATTGGTTTGAACAATCCAACAAATTAAAAAACTCGAACCAAACCAATTAATTGAAGGCTTTAATGTTTTTATAGTTAATGTAGATAAGTTATCTATATTCGCTTCCAAAACGATGTCGTTTTAGATTGAAAAATTAAAAAATTATAATAAAAAAGACTATTATAACTCTGAAATAAATTATAATTACAAAAAATACTTTAATTTTCGCCTCAAAACGACGTCGTTTTGAGCTCAATGTAGATAAGTTATCTACCTTCACGGTAGAAAAAATAAATTCTTAATTTAATTCATATTATTCGATCCAAACTGAACTAAACCAAGTACTATTATATAAATTTTGGGTTTATACTTCTCTAGTTATAGGAGAAGTATTGTCTTAAATCATTGAGAAAGAAAAATATAGGGGGCTCACATGTTAAAAATAAAAATAAAAAATCAACGTGAGAATTAAAAAGTCAGTAGGAAATTTTTTTTCTTCTCCCTCTAAATGAGATATTGATTGCCCATGAACTATTTTCTCTCAAATTTTATTGGAATATCTTATGGTGCATCTAATATTAAAAAATTAAAAATTGAAAGACTAAAGGTTAAAACCCTAATATATTGAGGCTGTTTAAAAATGGCAAGTTCTATGCTATATATATGGTGCGACACTGATAGAGATATCACAAAAGGCACGTGGACATGCCTATTTCCACATGCTGAGAGCTTAAATTGTGAAGAAGAAAACACAATCACGTTCAATTTTTTCTTCCAATTTGTTTCGCAATTGCCTCCTTCCTAACCAAAAGTTTGGCAGCAACTTTACGATCGATTGTAACCTCATGCATCAATCCTCATCGCATGGTTTCTGTGTTCAATATCTTTCAGTTTCAAAGAAGTAAATGGAATTAAATTTTTATGTCTTTATGCTATTGAAACAGATGACATCAATAACTCAAGACATGTCGAGTTGAATAATGGAGAAAAGAAGAGATATTTCATCTAATATCATTTTGAAACTAACACAAACTTTACTTCTATTTCATATAAAAACTCTAGATGAGTCTTTTTTTTTTTGTAGTTTTAATATCAAAAAAATGTTGTCATTTTAAAAAACACAATTTTGTATCATTTTAAGTAAAAATATTGTGTTTTGATGGTTTTTAATTATATATCCTCTTTTTCTGACAAAAACACAATTTTGTATCATTTTAAATAAAAATATTGTGTTTTGATGGTTTTTAATTATATATCCTTTTTTTCACAATGCTCTCTTTTTCTCTCTTATCGTGATTTTATGGAAGGCAGAAAAGCTAAAAAAAACCATCAAAACACAATAGTTTAACTTAAAATGGCACAAAACTATCTCATTGAAAATGAAAATAATTTTTCCTATATTACCATACTAGGAAAAAATGATCTTAAGAGAACTGTCTCTGTAACGAGCCTAATAATGCTCAAATCGGACGGCAAAAAAATTAAAATACTACACTTTTAATAATTAATTACAAATAGGTTGCAGTTTGAAAACTATCTACGAATCTATTGCAGTCATTCACGTCCAAATTAGGCGTGACTATTCACGCCCAAGTTAGGCGTGACTCCCAAGGCATTCACGCCTAAATTAGGCGTGACTCGTCTGGTGTTGACACGTGGCACAAAAAATTAATAATTTAACCGTAAAACTTTATAAGGCCATAACTTTTGACTCGGGTATCCGAATGAGATAATTCTTTTTTTGATTCCACATAACTTTTCGAGATCTACGCAATGACATCTCATTTGATATATTTTATCTCTCACAAACACAATTCAAATTTGCAACAATGAATGAGTGAATTTAATGTTATAGTACCTTTATTGGGCGTGAATGAGTGCAATATATTCGTAATTAGGTTCAAAACGACAACTTATTTTGTTATAATATTCTACCAAGTGTTTAGAATATTTATTTAATTATTTTCTTTATTAATACAGTTTTTTCAAATTGATTTTTGAGTTTAAATAACAAATTAAATCTTTATTTTTTTTCTTATTAATAATAATTTTTTATTTTTTTTGGTAATACACTATATAATACAATTATTACAAATTTGAATTGTGTTTGTGAAAGATAAAATATATCAAATGAGATGTCATTGCGTAGATCTCTAAAAGTTATGTGGAATCAAAAAAAGAATTATCTCATTTGGATATCCGAGTCAAAAGTTATGGCTTTCCAAAGTTTTACGGTTCGTAAGTTGACTTTTTTTTTGCCACGTGTCAACACCAGATAATTCACGCCTAAATTAGGCGTGAATGACTTGGGAGTCACGCCTAATTTAGACGTGAATAGTCACGCCTAATTTGAGCGTGAATAACTGCAATAGATTTGTAGATAGTTTCGAAACTGCTATGCATTCGTAATTATTTATTAAAATAGTAACATTTTAATTTTTCTGTCCAAATCGGACTAGTCGGATAAATAATGAACCGGTGGATATATAAAAAATCAAATTATCTCTTGTAATTTGAAAATAACATCATTTTGAGATTTGGGGGAAAAAATATCAGGAATCTTAAAAATTTCATTTCTCTCTTATAATATAAATTTGCCTAAAATATTTTATATTTTTCTCTTAAATTTCGAAATCACATAAAATAACTTATTTTATTTGACAAGAGAAATACTGAACTCTTAATAAAAACTCATTTTGCACACAAAAATAAGTATAGTCAATGGTGACTGGTGAGTCAGTTTAATACTTCAAACATTTTTTTTCTCCAAAATGCATTAAAGGGACGTTTCATTCCAAAACCATAACGTTTACCGTTAAAATCGTAATTAAATGGAAAATTCAGTTACTTCGTCGTACCAACTACCAACTAAAGGACATTATGATTGAAGATTTTGACTGGTTTTTCGATCAAATTCAATTCCAATAAAAACTGAAAACAGTAATCAATTTGAGTCGAATAAAAAAAAAATCACCTTGTCTTAGTAATTTTCCTTTTCTTAATAATTTATGTTTACTTGATTTTCCAGCTAGATTGAGTCAACTTTCTTACGACCATGGTTGAAATGAATTGAGCAGAATCCAAAAACATATCACGTTCTAGCATAATTAACTTGGTTTATCAAGCATATTTTAGAGAGAAAAATATGAATTATAGCTGTTGATTATAATAGAATACATGCAGATATATAATAATTATTAAGTAATTAAAATTTATCTTGTTAATTTTTTAATCAATATATTTTAGCTGTAGAAGACTCAAATTCATTTATTAATAGCATATTTATGTAAGATTTTTTGTCACTGCTTCTAAGCATTTGAAGCAACATTTTTAAGAGAATGAAGTATTATTTTCTTTTCAATCAATGTGATGTAAGCTCAGGAAAAGATATTAAAATTGAAAATGGATTGAACACAAATCAATCTTAAAAGTTATTTTTAAAAAATAATTTAAACAATGCTATATCTGTTTTATCCACCTGACTTAATCTTAAAAGATAAAATAACTTAACAGCATAATTATATAATTTCAACCAAATTCAAAACATTACATAATAATATTCATAACAAATTCAACCCATGACTTTAACAATTATTATGAGAATACACAAAAATGGATAATCATTATTATTATGAGAATGAATATTACTAATTAACTATCACTTTAGATTTGAAAAATTAACTTCACAACTTTATTGAGAGATTTTTCCATCAATATTGAACTAATCCATTTTGAGTTGGATATCCCATGGACGATAAAGTTATTCTTATCTAGTTTTTAAATTTTTGAATTTGAAATCACTAATTAAACTGAAATTATTCCAATTATATATATATATATATATATATATATATATATATGGAAAAATGTTTATCCTTTTAAATGACACAATTTATATACTTTCACTTTCACAAAGAGGTGGGATCCACACCTTTATTTTTTTTGTCAACTCTCTCTCCTTCTTTACCTATCTCTTTATCTCTCTTAAAATGACACAACTTTACGTCTTTTAAAATGATACACATTTTTCTCATATATATATTTTTTTGATATCTGTCTAGTTTAGCTTCACGGATTTGGGCCTTTTCACACTCATTGTATGAATCTATGTTGCACCAATACTGACTCGGAACACAGGATACGACGTGACATGATACTTCGACACGTTAATTCTAAAAATTGTTAAATTTTGACACGTTTTAATATTAAATATTTTTAATTTATGTAATTTATATTATATTTAATATTTAATAATTTAACAAAAAAATAAAACTAAACTTATAATACCCATCAATTTTGCAAAGAAACATAAGATATCTCAAATATTTGTATTAAATTCAATAAAATGGTAATCGTAAATCCAATGAATCTAATAGTTAGAACTCACAACGCAACACAACACAACACAACACAACTTTTGAACATTTTTTGAGTCTTTACAACGAATATTAGAATGTCAAGAGTGTCGGTGAATGTCAAACACAACACGTTAGTATTTTTGAAATGTGCGTATTTCATAAATATGAATTGCGACTCTTAAGAATCTAATCCAGTACCCGAATTTGATAACTATATTTATACATAGAGGTTCTGATAAAAAAAAGAATAAAAAAAAAAAGAGAGAAATACATTAAGTTCTTGAAAGAACACAGTTAAAAGATAGTTGAATACACACACATAGATACGTTAATGTTGTTTGTCTTAAAAGCAATAAAAAGGAAGGAAGAGTGGTCAAATACAAACGCACTCAACAGTCTCTTTCTTCTTCTTCTTTTCTTTTCTCTCTCTAAAAAAATTGAAATTCAGAAGAGTTGATGATATAATATAATATAGACAGAGTCACTTTCTCTCTCCTCCATCCACTTTCTCTCTCTACATCCGAACTCTCGCCGCCACCAACCACCGCGACGCGGGGTTGTTATGAATCGGAGCAGCTATGGGCGGAGTCACCTCCTCAATCGCCGCCAAGTTCGCCTTCTTCCCGCCGCAACCGCCGTCCTACACGGTGGTCTTCTCCGACCAAGCATCAACTGTCGCCGCCGAGGTTTCTCCTCCTCCTCCTCCTCGTATCTCGATTCCCGAGGTTCCTATGAAGGACAACGTGGACGTGCTCAAGCTTCGGAGTCGCCGAGGTAACGAAATCGTGGCGGTTTATGTAAAGTACCACAGGCCCACGTGCACCATGCTCTACTCGCACGGAAATGCCGCTGATTTGGGTCAGATGTTCGAGCTCTTCGTTGAATTAAGCAATAGGCTTCGCCTTAATGTTATGGGGTACTTTCCCTTTTTCTTTTTATTTATTTATTTATTTTTAATTTTATGTTTCCATTTGAGACTTTTTTTTTTTTTTAAGATTGATGTTGGTTGATTAGGTAGGATTTAATGTTAGATTGAATATTGTTTGATGGTCATAAATGTTGATGGTGTTTGCATTAATTGATAATCTATGATCATGGAATTGGAATGTGCTGTTTGTTCATTTATTGATTTGCTTTTCTTTTTTCTAAAAAATAAAATAAATTAGTGTATTAAAGATTTTTTTTTAATTATGCTAAAATGGCCATTTGGAGGAGATTTTGTTTTACCCGTCTGTTTTAAATGCAATTATTTAATTATTTAATGCTTGGAATTGGTAATAAATAATAAAGCCTTTTGTGATGGTTTTGAAGTTCTGATATTGGAACAAGTGCTTCAAGGAAGGTTTCGTCATCTTTGGGTAAATGATAGTTACCAAATCTTAATTACGGCACTGATGTTGAAGAGGAAAGGGATTTAACTTTTTCTTGGAGAAATAAGCTACGGAAGTAGCTAATTTGACTACTGAAGATACCTTCTTTTTCTGTTTAGACAAGTGTTTTAAAACTCGTACCGGTCATCGAACCGGTCGAGGTACTAGATCGTTGGGTCACTGGTTCAACCGGATTCAATCGGGTTGAACCGGATTTACTGTTCATATATTAAAAATATAAAAATATTACTTATATTAATAAAAATTCACATAAGAAAACTATCAATGAGCTTCAAAAAATAAATTGATTTTCAATTTTAGCAAATATTATATACTTATAAGCTTCTAGCTCTAGACCATATCTTAATATTGGATTAAAATTGCAATATAAGTTAAATGCACCTTTTGTGCTTGACATGATACGGATAAATTAAATCATGATAACAAATAGTATGCATGAAATATACACCAAGAAGAAAGTGTCATCATTATCATGATAACAAATAGTATGCATGAAATATACACTAAGAAAAAAGTGTCCACCATTGAGATGAGATCATGAGACCATCAATGTTTATTACCACTTAACTTCATGAGATCATTATAAGATGCAACTAAATTACATAAACGAACTGCACTAATCTAAAATACCTTATTATTTTCACCTTACTTTTAATCATATTCATCATAAAATATGAATATGATTATGATTTAATTCAAGAGTTCTTATCAACAACAAAAAAATTTACCAAAAAAGAAAGAAAGAAATAACCGATCTAATCCGGGTCAACCGGGTCGCCGGGTTTCGGCCGGGTCAACCGGTCCAATCCAAATTGACTGCATAAACGGTCCAACTACCCGCTCTGACCGGGGAACCCACTGGGTCACCGTGTCCCAGGTCGACCCGGCCGGTCCGAGCCGGGTTTTAAAACACTGGTTTAGATGGTTTATAGCATAAAAATATTAATAATATTTAAAAAAAAAAAAAACCTTTTGAGTGAATCAATGCTCAACTGTTATGTATCTTGCTGCTATCATTTTTTAAGCAATGGCTGATGTTGAAAGTACTGTTGTCTAGTCTTTTGTCTTCTTAGCATTGCTATTCTGAAGAGCTGAAGCTGTGTTGATGTCTTCGAATTTTCTATGAAGATTAGGTTGCTTAGAAAGTGTACCTTTAGGGAAATGGATATGGTCATATGGGAAAATGATACGAACCTTGGGAGAGTCTCACCCCAAAAGCTAGCTGTAAAGAACCTTGGGATACACCACCTCAAAAGCTAGCTCAAAGGGTGGGAGTGCCCAAGGCCTTATAAACTCCACATTAGTTGCACATACAACCAATGTGGAACTATATATCTCAACACGCCCCCTCACGCAAGAGCCCTTTGGGCTTGAAACGTGGATTATGCACAGGCCCAATTTTTGGTTTACCTTTTGTGCTTTTATTTTAATTCCACTTTAAAGTGGGGGGCGGTGAGGATCGAACCTCAAGTTCTGATACCATGTTAAGAACCTTGGGATACACCACCTCAAAAGCTAGCTCAAAGGGTGGGAGTGCCCAAGGCCTTATAAACTCCACATTAGTTGCACATATAACCAATGTGAGACTATATATCTCAACACCATGAGGTAAGAGAGCCCAAAGTCCATATAAAAACCCCACATTAGTAACCCATATAACCAATGTTGGATTCAAGTCCCATATCTTGCAATTAGATCGTAACATTCCACCATGCTCCGCAGCCCCAGCGCCCACGCAAGGTGGCTTTGCGCTAATCTTTTACTAATCCTGGGCGAACACTGCAATGCCAGCGTCACCAGCCGCGCAGCTCGATTGCGGTTTGGAGACATAGTGGAAGGCTCTTATATCAATTGATACGAACCTTAGGAGAGCCTTACCCCAAAAGATAGCCCATGAAGTAGGAGAGCCCAAAGTCCATATAAACCCTACATTAGTCACTCATATAACCAATGTGGGAGTCAAGTCTCATATCTTGCAATTAGATCGTAACAGAAAATCACAACCATACAAAGGTAAATAAATGGTGGTGGTTATGTAACTACCTATTTCAATATTTTTTCTCTCTCTCCCCTTATCACCATTGATCCACCTTTGTATGGTCATGATTCCTCTACATGACCATATCATGTTTTATTTAACTTGAAAGGATCCACTCTCGTACCTTTAGATGGATATTTTTTTTTTCTTCATGTGTGATGAACTGTGTGCTGTTGGATTATACGAAGCTTCCCTCTGTCCCTGTGTGTTTTAGTGACTAGGAAATTGGAACTTGCTATCACAACTCCTGCTGTTGGCATTTGTTTCAGAATTTGGCTAGGCATTATTTTTATTGACCAAACTTATAATAGCATATGTTTCAGAAAGGGAGCCTTGGAACAACAGTTGTTGTTGCCATGTGACCCGGAGGTCATAGGTTCTTGCAAATGGGTCTGACTCTTCCCTGGACCCTGCACTGAGCAGGAGCTTTATAGTACCAGGTTGACCTTTCTTTTAATACTGTGGATATTTATCTTATGTATGTCAAAGGTTGAAGGAAAGGCTATATGATATTCTAGATGAGGACACTCTCAATTGAAAGATTTGTTTATTAAAGTTTATTGTATTGAAATGAAGTTTCTGTTGGCGGATATGGAAAATGAGACTTGATCAGCTAGTAAATGTCAACAATGTGTCACCTATTTACTATATAGGTCCTTGCTCTTATTATTTGGAGTAGTTGCAGAAAACAACACTTGAGTGACTTAATTTATATGCATGGGAGGTCTAAGCTCTGCTTGTGCTTTATTCAATTGCTTGTATTTCACAATTCAATATCAGTCTGTTCAGTATATTGTCGAATTGTTTGTGGAATCAGGCAAAGTGTTCCACAACAGTTACTAGAAGTTAACTTTCCGAAGTTAATTCGTAAACTAATAAACAATACTCTTATGAAAACAGGAAAAATGCCCCATTAAATATAATGTGTTCTATATGTTAAGTTTGTGGGAACTTATTTTCGTTGTGAAATTTTATGATGAAACAACTATTGTTTATTGCTTATTGTTAATTTATGAGACAAATTCAGTTACAAGCTATCTGTTGAGGAGATTAATTCTTTTACTTACCATGACTGTCTAGAAGGGGTACTTTTAATAGCCTAAAACTGTGATTGTGAGTAGTAAAGTAAAAAGTGTGTTTGGAGAGATAAATCATGCTCACTTGAGTCGTTTATGGAGAATAGTTACTTCCGTGGAATTTCACATGGCTATAACTTATATTCTAATAAGTGCCGTGCTTTTTAAAAAAAATTGGATCTGTTTTAAGACACAATTATGAACAGAACTATATTAAATATGGAGTTTCTAAATAAAATATTTTGGTAAATTAATAGCATTAAGCTCACAAATATCCTTCTCTGTTAAAATTTCATTAGTTATGATAGTTTGTTATTGTAGTATTCGTGGTAAATGGTAATTGTTCCTAGCATCATTCTTTACAAATTTTATACTCATTGATATTAGTGGTCTTACTATCCTTTCTTATCCCTCTTTCCTCCTTCTCCCAAACAGGCCCAAAAGTTATAAAGGATGAGTAAACTTAAATAAATTTAATGGAAACAAGAATGTTATATACATTCTTTTTAATCAATATTTGTTGCTGATGCTGGTCCCAAGACCCTGAAAGTCTATTCTGGAAGAGTCAAACCACAGAAGACAATTGAGTTAGTTAAGTAGTTATGAAGTTTGTTGGTTAGTTAGGGTGGTTTGTCTGGCTGTGGGCTAGCTCCGATTCTTTGGTTTGACAATTTCCTCTGCTGCTTTCTTGGTCATCCACCCTTAAAAAGCGAGAGTGGATTTCATTGATTCCTTCAAGATGTCGATCACACGTCTCCAATCTTCGACGGTTTTTGTTGGTTTCCTGTCAATGTGATCAAATCGAATTCTCCAGAGCTCCACATATGCTTCAATGGATGCCATTTCGATCGAGAGCATAGATCTCTTGACTTCAATGAAAAAAACTAACAAATACCTAATTAAATCAGTTGTCTTCCGAGGTTTGAGTCTTCTAGAATAGACTTTCAGGGCCTTAGGACCAGCATCCGCAACAATATTGTTCATTGGGAATTTGTGTTTGCGTGTCTCACATCTATGTTTCTATGCTTGTAATGTTCTTCAATATTGTTTTGTTCTTCATCAGTTTGCTATTCCAAATACATTTCATTTAGCTTCCTCAGTATTTTTCTTGAATTTCTACAGATGTGAGTATAAGAAAAGAAGTTCTCTCTTGATTACCCAGAGTTATATGAATTTAAAGATACATATGGGAATGCTTTTGTTATTCTCAAATGTCATATATGAAATATTCCCATGTTCTCTTTAGAAATATTCTTTAATGGTACTCCTTTATTTTATTTTTGTTGAATTGCAGTTACGATTACTCTGGTTATGGACAGTCCACAGGAAAGGTTAGCTTCCTAACTTTTCAGTCCCTATAAGTCTATCATTCTCTATCTATGGAATTATGACTTTTCTTTACACAAACTTTTCAATGTTCTTCATGTCTATTAAGTGTACATTGGTTTGAATTTCTTTCTAAATTGACTCATTATGCTCCTTTTTTATTAGTTTTCTCCCTTCCCCCTTCCCCTTTTTTCATTCATTTCTTCCTCCGTGCTCCTTAGCTGAATCAGTAGAGAAAAACCTTCCTTACCTGTGTAAATGTTAATTTAATCAGTAGAATTATTATTTGGACATTGAATTTGACTTTGTGGAATGAACATGATTATTATAGTTTTTGGTTTGTCAAGATTGGAATGGTATCCATATTGCTCTTTTACCATACAGGTGCGCGTGGAAAAAAATTCTTCCCACTTTGTTGCAACTTTTAGATTATTTAAGCCAGGTGCATAATGAATAATGACAGTCTCAAAGTTACTGTCCACAACTTGATGGCTGTCACTATTCATTTTGCATATGTGGCGTAAATAATCCTAAAGCTGCCCCAAAATGGGGATTTTTTTTTTCACTTGCATCTAGACAGTAAAAAAGTTCATCCATTCCATTTTTTTTTTCATGTTTGGTACATGGAATAAACCTAAAATGGAATCATTGTTATGATCATTAAAGATAAACAAATAAAATTAATTCATTTTTGGTTTCTTGGAATCAATGTATGATGTGTATTAGAAACTGTGGGGGTTACTACATGTTTAGAGGCAATCAGCATATATGTATGATAGTGTTACTACATGTGCAAAGACTTATAATGGAACATAAAATTATTTTCTAATCATGGTAGGATTATACTAAGGGTTTGCTTTGAGTCCTTATCTTTTTGCTATAGTTAAACATGAGTTAACAAAAGATATCCAAGACGAGTGGTATATGCTATTTATAGATGATATTGTGCTTATTGATGAGACTAGGGATGATATGCCTCTTAGACTAAAAGGAAAATTTTATAGAACGGCTATAAGACTTGTAATGCTATACGGAGTTCAATGAAAGGTAGGAGTAGTAACAGTAGCCGAAAAGATGAGATAAATAGATTGAGATGGTTTGGACGTATTCTTTGAAGACCTCTAGACATTCTAGTAAGAACAAAATTTTGTTATCGAGAGCATGACAAAGAAATGAAGAGGTCGGCTAAAACTTACTTGGGGGAAAGTAGTATAATAAGATTTAATGGATTGAGAAATAGATCGGCGTATGGTTTCTTTTAGGATAGAGTGGAGGAAAACCATTAGCATTATGGAGGAGTATATTTTTTTCCTATGTCTCAGAATCCCAGACTGCCATGTTTAGTTCTTTTTTCCTTTATTTATTCTGTCTTTCTTTTTCTTTTTCCCCTTCAATTTGTTCTTGATTTTATTTGGGTTCATTGACTATCGACCCCAACTAGTTTGGGATAAATGTGATGTAGATGTTGATATTAGAAATTGTGGGGGTTCAATGCATAAAAATTGACTCAAATGACATGTATTTGTAAACCATTAACAATGTTTGACATCTTGAATTTTCAGAATTTCATTGATAGAAGTTACTTGTTATCACATTGGCATATATATTTCTTTGGGAGTTCTTATCAACTCTTCTGAAAGAATAACTAATATGTATGTTCGTTTTGTTGTCTTTCAAAAGGTATTTATTGTTTCAAAGCTATGGTTGAATCTCTAAATTGTAGAACCTGCAGAAGCATTTTGCTTCTGCCACTTCTTCATTATATTAACCAATACTTATTTTCTTAGAGTACAAGGCGGCCAGTTTCCCTTTTATATGTGAACTTATGATTTGAGTACTTTTGCATTATTGTGCATGCCATGTCTCTCAACTTTCTGTGGACAGTTAAAACTCGGTCCTTTGTTTTTCAGGTTAGATAGAGGGTGCATCTCATTTTTTAAATACTTGTCCATTTTGCGCATTAAATATTGATTTTAGTTACATGTTATCATATTAACTCAGTGCGATGAAGTTATTGGGTGTAGGTTGAAAAAGTTTAAAGGAGAATATAGATAATCGAGATAATCTGAGATTAGATTGATATGTGATGTGTTATAGTACAAAGCATTGACACCTATTTATACTAGTAATTTGGTGAAGTACTAATTAGTATTACTAGGACAAGCCCAGTCTAATAAAGAGTACTGTCCTAATAAGATTCTAAGTCCTAACATTGTAAGAATCCTAATATTCGTAGTTCTAACTCATATTTTTTGTTTATGAATATTATTACACAGAATACTATTACGTGTTGTTGTTGATGGTTCTTTCAGAGTGAGATTATTGCGTGTAAGTTAACAGTCATCCTTTTTTGTGTTTGAAACAGCCAACTGAATGTAACACATACGCAGATATTGATGCTGCATATAAATGCCTAAAAGAGCAATATGGGGTGAAAGATGAGCAATTGATATTGTATGGCCAATCTGTTGGTAGTGGTCCCACACTTGATCTTGCTTCACGGATACCGGAATTGAGAGGCGTCGTCTTGCATAGTCCAATTTTGTCTGGGCTGAGAGTACTATATCCTGTAAAACGGACATACTGGTTTGATATTTACAAGGTAGAGTTTTCTTACTGATTGTATAAGTATTCCGATCCGTTTCATTCAATATATGGGTATTTATATGGCTTGTTTTTCTTCTATCCAGAATATTGATAAAATTGGTATGGTCAAATGTGCCGTTTTGGTTATACATGTAAGTGACTTCCACTCTCTCTCTCTCTCTCTCCACAAATGTAATGTATTCTTTTAGGGCTACATGTCTATCTTCCTTGCCTTTGTTGTTAACGCAACTAGTTTTCTTTCAGGCTTCAACTGTCAATTAATGTCAACCCCCCAAATCCATGCTTTTATATGTCTAAAGGAATTCTTATCTCTAGAATAACTTGTTTAACTAACCCGCTATTGATGGATTTAATCCATGCATAGTGTAAAGAGTTTTCCACTATTAGTAAACCATATGTTGCTGCCTTCTTTAAAAAACTATCAAAAGAACTTCCACTGCAAGTGAGATGCAAGTATTACACTTGATCTTAGTTGGTGTAAGTGTTACACCAATTACCAAATCTTAGTTATTGATCTCACTTGCATATAATGACTTTAATTTGTTAGTTATGTGAGCGGTTAAATGCAAGTGAGATTAACAGTTAAGATTGGGTGTAAGGCTTCTTAATTTTATACCAGGGTAAGTTGATCCAGCCCCATTCCAATTTGGGATAAGATCAATTTACATCGGTGTAAGAGCCTGTTTGATGCATCTTTCTTTTTTTAAGCTAAAAGCTACTTTTAAGCTAAAGTTAAAAAAAAAGCTTGAAAATTAAAGCTATAAACTGTTTGGTGATTATATAAAGTTGTTCTGATAGTTTTGAAGGAGGGAAGATAAATAATTTGTTATTAGGATGATTATTAGGGTAAAGGATAAAATTTATAAATACAAGTTTAAAATAAGGATAAAATTATAAAATAAATATGAGGACTCTAAAAAGCTAGCATACATCTTAAAAAAAGCTCTTCGTGGGAGCTTTTAGCTTTTAGTTTTTTCCTTCATTATAAAAAAATGTTTTTTACCAAATGGTGGTAGTTTAGTTGATGCATGGGAGCTAAGCAGGTAGGGGTGAGAGCATTGTGTTCGATCCTCCCTAGTATCACCTTTGGGAGGGGTTTAAAGCCTTAATCTTGGACCCGCCCCGAATCGGACTAATCGCGAAGCGATGAACCGATAGAATATTTTCAAAAAAATAAAAATAAAAGCTCTCTTTAAAATAAGAGCTTTTATAAAATTTATGTTTGGTTAAAATTTCTACTTTTAGGGAGAAGAGAAGCTAAAAATAAGACATGCCAAACAGGCACTAAGTTTTACACCCAATCTCAACCGTTGATCCCATTTGCATCTAATGGATATACAAGCCTTTAGATGCAAGTAAGATCGACGGTTAAGATTGGGTGTAAGACTTCTTATTCTTATACCGATGTAAGTTTAATCGTGCCATTTCTTTTCTTGTTTACTATTAGTGTAGAAAATTCTACACTAACAGGAGATCAAATTTGAACTATATTAATTTGTGCTATCTTTAAGACAATTGCCATTCACCATGCATTCTTTACAATTATTTGTTTTCATTATTATTATTATTTTTACTTTGTCTCTTTCCTTCATAATTTTGTAGATAGTAGTGATGATAATAATTTTTCCATGGCCAGGGGACAGCAGATGAAGTTGTGGATGTGTCCCATGGGAAGCAGCTTTCGGAGCTTTGCAAGGTAAAGTACGAACCCTTATGGGTAAGTGGTGGTGGACATTGTAATCTAGAGCTTTACCCTGAATTCATTAAACATCTAAAGAAATTTGTACAGACAATTGGAAAATCTAAACCAACTGCAAATGGTTCTCAAAAGGATACAATAGAAACTGAGAATCAAGGCAAAGCTAGCAAAGAATCCGAAACTGGAACTTCAAGTGCTTCTGAATTGAGTGCAGAACCTCCTGAAGCTTCTAGGAACAGTTTAGATAGCCGTCTTGAGAAGTCTAAAAAATCAAAAAAACCAGAAAAATCTCGAATGAGCACAGACCATGTTGATAGGTTTAGGAGAAGAAAAGGGTTAGTTTGGTAGTCTCTCACACAAACTGTATCCAGAATAATTTATCTGCCAGTATCCACTTTGCAGGTTATCTATTTCCACTCCTCAGGTAATGATGCCAGTTCTAAAGTGAATATATAGAGTGAGTTTTCTGTTTTCTTTCCTCTTATAGGTCCATAATTCAGCTGTATGTTAAATGATTGAGAGTAATATGCATTCATATGGCCTGTAAAATCAACAGCTTGATGTAAATGCAATCATTAAGATACTTTGTTTTGGTTAATTTTCAAGTGTCTCAGATGTTTTTCTTTGTTTTTCAGTTTTAACCTTTGAAACATTTAAACCAAGAAAGAAAGAAAGAAAATGTAAGGCTGCCAGAGCAGTAGATATTACCAATAAAATAAACTTCAACCAAAGAAATTGATGAAATATAAGACTGAAATGTATTTTTCATATATTGATTGACACCCAAAGGGATCTTTATATACAGATTACAAGGTAGTTAAGGAGTTGAAGTAATAAATAAAATACACAGTAACCGAAGAGGCATCACACTACTCAAAGGAACAAGTAGCTAGAAACAAGTAGAAAACTCTAGAATATTCTACACTCCCCCTCAAGTTGGGAGATATATATTGATCATCCCCAACTTGCTAATTAAATCCTCAAAGATGGGTTTGTGTAATCCTTTGGTGAGAATGTCGGCTGTTTGCTCCTTGGTAGGTATATATGACAAACATACACTACCCTCCTCCAATTTTTTCTTTGATAAAATGACGATCAACCTCCACATGTTTGGTTCTGTCATGATGTATAGGATTTTGAGCAATACTGACTGCAGCCTTATTATCACAATAGAGTCTCACAAGTAGAGAATAAGATATCTTTAATTCTCCAAGGAGCCTTCTTAACCAGATTCCTTCACAAATGTCATGGGCTAGCGCCCGAAATTCTGCTTCTGCACTGCTTCTGGCAACAACAGTTTGTTTCTTACTTCTCCAGGTCACAAGATTTCCCCAGACATAGGTACAATATCCTGAAGTGGATCTTCGGTCCATAGCAGAGCCAGCCCAATCAGCATCTGTATAGATTTCTATCATCCTCTTGTGTCCCCTTTTAAAGAGCATTCCTCGACCAGGGGTGTTTTTGAGGTACTTGAGGATTCTATAAACAGCACTAAGGTGTTTTTCCTTAGGAGAATGCATGAATTGGCTAATCATGCTAACCGCAAATGCAATATCAGGCCGAGTGTGAGATAAGTAGATCAGCTTCCCTAGCAACCTTTGGTATTGCTCCCTGTCAACATCTTTTCCATCTTCAATTCCCAATTTAATATTGGGTTCAACTGGAGTTTCTGCAGGCTTGTACCCAAGCATAGCTGTTTCTTGTAGCAGGTCTAGAATATATTTCTTCTGAGATAAGGAAATTCCCGCCTTGCTACGAGCAACTTCCATTCCAAGGAAATATTTGAGAGATCCAAGATCCTTTAGTTCAAACTGACTAGCTAAACCCCCTTTTAAAGATTTTATTTCTTCCCAGTCATCACCTGTGACAATAATGTCGTCAACATAAACAATGAGGATAGCAATTTTGCCACTATCGGAGTGTTTAAAAAATAAAGTGTGATCAGTCTGAGCTTGGATAAATCCTCTTTCTTTAACAACACGAGTAAACTTTTCAAACCACTCTCTAGGGGATTGTTTAAGTCCATAAAGAGATTTCTTCAACATGCATACAGAACCATCTCCCTGTTCAAAACCAGGTGGTGGATCCATGTAAACTTCCTCATGTAAGTCCCCATTTAAGAAAGCGTTCTTTACGTCCAATTGATGCAAGGGCCAATCAAGGTTGGCAGCAAGTGATAGTAAGACTCGGATAGAGTTAAGTTTGGCAACGGGAGCGAACGTCTCCTGATAGTCTATCCCATAAGTCTGAGTAAATCCTTTGGCAACCAATCTGGCCTTATATTTGTTGATGCTGTTATCTGCATTAAATTTTATTGTGAACACCCATTTGCAACCTACAGTTTTCTTTCCTCTGGGAAGTGCCACAGACTCCTAAGTTCCATTTTTTTTAAGAGCATCCATTTCTTCAAAGACTGCATCCCTCCATTTAGGGTCATTAAGTGCCTCTTGGATATTTTTTGGTATTTTTGTACCGTCTAATATAGTGTTGAAAGCACGAAAACCTGGAGATAACTTTTCATATGAAATGTGATGAGAAATAGGATGAGCAGTGCAAGATCTAGTACCTTTTCGAAGGGCAATGGGCACATCTAGGTCAGCTGTACCAGTGTTCTCAAGTGGATTGCTGGAACTAGGACTCGGGTCAGAATCCTGGCAGTCTAGAGGATCTTGAGGAGATTTTCGCCTGCTGTAGAATTTTCCCCATTTACTGGGAGGATCTCCAGTCTCTGGTACAATTGCTGTCCTTGTCTCCTGTACATTAACTCCCCCTGACTCCAAAGGTAAAGAAACAACAGATGTTTCCAAGGGTAAAGGTAAGACAGTAGAATTATTTGGATTCCAAGACTTGTCTTCATTTATACCAATAGACTCCCCCTGAAGAGAAGTCGAGGAAAAAAATGATTGTGTTTCACAAAAAGTAACATCCATAGAAACAAAGACCTTTCGAAGAGAAGGTGAGTAGCACTTGTAACCTTTTTGATTAGGAGGATATCCTATGAAGACACATTTAACAGACTTATGATCAAGTTTGGACCTTTGATGTGGAGGAATATGAACAAAAACCACGCAGCTAAACAACTTTGGAGGAAGGGAAGAGAGAGCCCGAAAGGAGGGAAAAGAGCGGGTAAGGCAAGATATGGGAGAATGAAAATTCAGGACGCGAGAGGGCATCCGATTGATGAGATATGAGGCAGTCAAGACAGCCTCCCCCCACAGGTATTTAGGGACATGCATTGTAGACAAGAGGGCTCTAGCAACTTCAATGAGATGTCTATTTTTCCTTTCAGCCACCCCATTTTGTTGAGGGGTGTTAGGACAAGAACTTTGATGGATAATACCTTGCTTGGTTAGGTAATCACCAAGAACAGAATTAAAATATTCAGTACCGTTGTCAGTTCGCAGGATTTGGATAGAGGTCTGGAATTGAGTTTGTACCATAGCATGAAAATTTTTAAAAGTGGCTGCAGCTTCAGACTTATCTTTTAGAAGATATACCCAGCATACTCTAGAATGATCATCAATAAAGGTAATAAACCAACGAGTTCGAGATATATTTTTTTCACGAGCTGGGCCCCAAATATCACTATGAATCAATGTAAATGGGGACGAAACATGATAATCTCTAGGGAAATAAGAAACACGAGAGTGTTTTGCAAACTGACAATCATCACAAAAAAGGAACTTGGTTTTTTGTTGATAAATAAGTTTGGAAGCAGCTTTTGAAGATAAAAGAAATTTGGGTGTCCTAAACGACGATGCCACAACAAAACATCATTACAATCGTCTGATAAACATAAAGAGTGATTTGCAAAAAATCTCTTTTCATGAGAATCTTCTTCAAAATAGTAAAGCCCTTCTTCCTCTCTAGCACTGCCAATCATCAGCCTCGAATCCTGTTCTTGAAAAAACACAGGTTTTGGCAGAGAATTTAGCAACACAATGCAATTCAGAGGAAAGTTTACTAATAGAGATAAGGTTACAAGTAAGAGAAGGGACATGAAGGACAGAATTCAGAGTAATATGTTCAGAGAGCTTAATGGATCCCTTTCCCGCAATATTAGAGAAACTACCATCAGCCGTTCTTATTCGTGACTGGTGATAATAAGGGGTATAAGAACAAAACAGGGATGCATTACCTGTCATAGGATCAGAAGCTCCCGAATCAAGAATCCAACGACTACTATGATCAACATGGAATGCCTTACCTTGTTGAGCAACATGACTAGTTGCCTTAGCAGATTGAGACATCACCTTCTGAAATTGCTCATAATTCTTACCGTTTAAACGGTGGTTAGTAATCTGTATAGCTGGGTTGTCTCCGGAAGACGAAGAACAGGGAAGAGGAAAGACACCGGAAACATTACCAGATGATTTTTCAGAATGCTTATTCTCAGCCTCAATATTTTCAACTTTCATTGTTCAAAATAATAAAAAAAAAAACAAAAAAACAAAAAAGGAACACCAATTGTTCAGAACTGAAAAATCACAAAGAGGAACCAACTGGACCCAACAAGAAGAGTGCTCCAATCGTGATTTAAACCCCCAGAACAGGAAGAGGAAGGCCAGGCGAGCCGTTCTGTGAAAGCCGCGTGACAAACGGAGGCCGGCAGGGCGGCGCGTGGCTCACACGCGCCGGAGAGGCAGTTCTGCAGTGGCGGCGCGTGGATGACTTTCCGGCGACGGGGCTGACGTGGATCGACTCGGAAATGGCTTCTGAGTCCAATGGTGGCCTTGGTTTCGTGATTGGAGGGGTCCAGATATGGTTTCTGAGTTATTTTAATAAACAGTGAAAAATGGAAAACGGAAGGAAACGTGAAGGTTTACAAGATGACCACAGGATAACCTGCTCTGATACCATGATGAAATATAAGACTGAAATGTATTTTTCATATATTGATTGACACCCAAAGGGATCTTTATATACAGATTACAAGGTAGTTAAGGAGTTGAAGTAATAAATAAAATACACAGTAACCGAAGAGGCATCACACTACTCAAAGGAACAAGTAGCTAGAAACAAGTAGAAAACTCTAGAATATTCTACAGAAATACTCAAATCCGAATTTGTTAACTACAAGAATGTTCCTACTAGATATATTATCTCTTGAATATCTTCTCTAATTATCAATTTGACATCTACCATATGCATAGTTAGAACTTAGAAATGTGGTGGAATAGTATAGTATATTAAACTAGCTTAAAATGGCTTTGATTGCTTATAGTTATATCTCAAAATTTTACCTTTTAATTTCTAGGTGAGTTGGTAACTGAAGCCAAATATTACTGTAGAATTCATATTTACCAACCTTTTTAATAGTTGTAATTCAAAACACCAACATCAAAACCTTTTTAGTAGGAGTCTTTCCCTTCATGCTTGTTAAGATTGTCTTGCTTTGAATCGAGATAGCAAGTTCATTCCTCACCAAGTCAAGAACTAGAGCATCTCCATGATCATGGATTTTGTACAATGGACAAAATTCTGGAATAGACTTGTGGTCAAGTTTATCATATACTCATTGTAGTTTGCCAAATGAAAAGGTTTATGCGGTTGTTGCCTTGTTGGTTTGGATGTGCTTTTCTTGGTAAAAAGTTTTTTTTTTTTTTTTCCAGTGTCATTTTTATATTTCAGTGTGTTTGAATAAGCTTTAAAAATTTACCAAAAATAAAGAAAAAAGAATATGCTTTAAAAAGAATAATGAAACCAAATAACGGTAACTCAGTTGGTGCACGAGAGTTGAACAGGTGGGGTGAGAGCATGTGTTCGATCCTCCTCAATATCATCTTTGGAAAAGATTTAAAGCTTTAGTTCTAGACTTATTTTAAACAAAATTGTCACTAGTGGAGGATATATGTGGTTTATGAAAAAAGAAAAGAAGAAGAATGAAGCACTAAAAACAGTATAATGTGGGGTGTGTCTTTATTTAAATTTGAATCTGAGCTGTTTTGTTGAATCTGTTTTTTTTTTTTTTTTTTAAAGCACTACAGTATATTTATCTTGAAAAACAACTTTTTTGAAGCGAAAAAATTGCTAAAAAAATTTTTGTTATTCATTTTTTTTATTTTTTAAATGAGTACATTCAAACTCATTAAAATTACAATAAAATTATTTAAAACAAAAAATAAAAAAGCACATCCTAATGAACACAATGTCCTTCTAATGTAGACCCTTTTATAATATAAATAAGTTGTTCAAACATTAAAAAAAAGTGATTTTACATCCGAAATACAAAATAACTTACTTTTTAGAGGATCATATAAAAGAACGAGTTTTATTTATTTATTTATTTTATTTTTTGAAAAAAAGCAGCCCTATATTAATCTCAAAGCACTCCCTCCATTTTAGATTTTATAGTTTTGAAAAATCTCTGTTTTTTTTTGGTATTTTGATGTTGATTTTGAAAAATCTATTTGTATCAATTTACTTGTTTGTTTATGAAAAGCTAATATAAGTTTTCATTCTTTATTTTTTCTAACTTTATCTTGTATCTTGGGATTTTTTTTATACGAAACAAAGAGAAGATAATAAAATGATAATATTTTGAGTATTTCAATAAAGTAATTTTTTTTAAATGTAATTATATATTCTTAAAAATATTTTTTTTATTATTACTTTTTCAATGCTTTGCAATTATTTAAACGATGATTAATTTAAAAGAGAAGAAACTAAGAGTACATTAGTCATTAATGTTCCGAGTTGGAGGGCTTAATGTTCCGGGTTTATACTCTCGGCTAGGTCCAGGGAGCTCAAGCCCAAGAGTTTAACTTATTCAAAAGTTGAAGACTATTTTACCTGGATCAGTACTTCTGACTAACACCATATACTCCAAACCCGGATTATAAGACCATATGAGCCTAGATCGTGGGTTTCAACCCAAAATTCTTTCCCGGTCACTCATAACCACGATCACTTATAACCATATGATAAGACCATAATCTCTAGAACTGTTTGAAAATCTCACTTCCACTGCGATGACTGCCACATCTAAAGGCTATATAGGCTTACAAACAATACTAAAGGGACATTTGTGATTAGCCACATTCTCCAATTCTTGCATAGCATTCATATTATCCATTACTTACCCTGAACCTTAACCATCATCAACATAATAGAGACACTTATGCTATACGCATTATCATATTATCTAGTTGGTGTTCATTCAGAACAAAAAATAATTTTATTTTTTGCACTCACATTAAAGTAGATGGAACCCTATGAGAAAAGAAGAGAGAAGAAGAAAAAAGTGAACTACATCTGCTTCCATGTGAGTCCAGATATAAATTATCTCCAACTTAGAAAGAAAATATTAATCACTAAAAAAAATTGTGGACAGCAGATTTTAAGGAACAAGGACAAGCTGTCAAGCACCATAAATGAGAAATGTCCATTCAAGGGGCTGTTAATAACTGTGCTTGTTTGACTTTGATGATTTGCTTATGACATAATGAACATGACAGTGTCTTGTTTGGTTAAGATTTAAAGGTTGCTCCGTCCTTTCCGAGCACATGGTCAGAGAATTGATATTCACTTTCCCAAAATGAAAAATAAAAATAAAAAAAATATATATATATATATATATATATATATATATATATATATATATAATAAAAGAAAATAATTATTAAAAATTAGATAATATAAATAATTTTTTTTCATATTTAACAAATATTAAAAATATGGGAAAAAATATTTATCTTTTTAAAGAATATATAATTATATCATTTTAAGTAAGAGAAAGATATAATTTAATATTTTTTATTTAAATTTTAAATTTAAAAAAAAAATACTCACATGACATGATTTCATATCCTTTAAGATAAAAAACACTTAACCCAAAAGTATTTCCGTCCCTTTGATCCATTTAGATTCGTTTTAAGTATTCAGAATTGAGAATCCACTATTGGTCACCACACACAACCTGACAACTGGACTTCGTATTTGTTTGTACTACGTTAGTAACCGTCACTGTGATTCTAGCCAAGCCATCCAGATGTTAAAGGAGCAGCATGAAGATCCTAGGGACTCTCAAGTCACTAGCAGATTGAGATTATGATTAAAAGCATATTGGACTATTCATCTTGTTCATACCAAGAGAGAAAACAACAAATGTGCTCATTGGTTAGCTAAAGCTGGGCAGACTAATAATCTCCATTTCAAAATTTTTAAAGATCCTCCTCCTCAGTTGATGGAACTTAATATGTCTAGCTTGTTAGTTTCTGATTTGTAATTTCTTTCTGTTTCTGGAGCTTAGCCCCTCTTTATTTACAAAAAAAAAAAAAAAAAATACATATAACCATGCAAAAAGGAAAGGAAAAAACTCGGGGAAAATATTTCTACAATTAATGCAGATAAATTATCTGTATTTATTTTTAAAACGACGTTTTTTTGGTATTAAAATATTAAAAAACTATAAATATAAAGACTATTATAACCTGAACTAAATTAAAATTATAAAAACACCATGATTTCTGCCTTAAAACGACATCGTATTGAGCTTACTGCAAATAACTTATCTACAGTAAGTGTAGAAAAAGTAAACCCATATAACAAACTACTTTTCATGTATGGATAAAAGGCCTCCTCTTATCATTAAAAAAAATAAAAAAAATTCCCTTGTTCATAATACAAGTTATAAACGATATTAAACTTTTATATAGTCTATATACATTATTTTTGTAGATTTCATATAGTCTATTATATTCAGGGAATAATCAACTTATACAATATAAATCTTACATCCATTATTAGAATCAACAAATCTAATTTATTACTCACGTAAATCATTAAAAGTAATTATACTCAACTATTAAAAATAATGTAAGACTTATTAGATTTACACGGATGTAAGTTAAACCTCTCACATTATATTTATATTCATGCCAAGTATTTTTGTTATATAAATTGAGGTTTATATATATAATCACATGGACAATGAGGGTAAGAGAAGGAAACATGACAAAGCTTAACGTGGAGAAATTGCATTTTCATCAAAGAAAATAACCTCAACCACATAAGCTGTGTTAGACACAGTGACAATTTGAGTCAAATACAGGAAAAACATAGTGAACATCTTTATGCTTTATATGCAAAGAACCACCACATTTCAACACTCCATACATGATAAACCAATGAAGACTATACGAGTCTGCAATTCATCACATCACCTTGCCATCATCCTCCTCAGGGTCACGAAGTGTCCCAAACATCCAATCCATCCATATGGTGTAATGGCCATAGTTATGCCTATATGTAGTATGATGAATGGTGTGGTAACCAGCACCCATAACAGGCCATAACTTTCCATGTATGCAATCATGAATATTTGCAGTCCAAATGCCCTCAATGAATATGAGCACTAAATGTGCTGTAAAATGGGTTGGGATGATAAATAGAGCAAGGCTGTGTGGTAATGCCTGAAGTATCCCATCAAGAGGGTGAAACGCCATACCTGACATACATGGGAAATAAAGTTAGTCCATCCTTCATCTGGTGGGAATGTATGGACCTTAGAGAAAAGTGGTAACATAATTGAGATCAAAGTGATGATAAAAAAGAAATCAATGGTAGAGAAAATCAAGATGATTGTACTTATCAAAACCTGAGCCGTATGAGAGGACGATATACAAATTGAAACAGACTGACATAAATTAAAAGAATAATGTCCAGGTACCAAAAACGGAAAATGTTGCTTCTAGCAAGCAGCATGAGATGCATTCATTTGTAAAGGGTAAATCCCGGTGCACAAGACCCCCCAAATTTGCAATGATAAGGGTGAGGGTCGCATATATGCAGCCTTATCCTTACATTTTTTTGCAAAGAGGCTGTTATACAGACTCAAACCATGACCTTCCGGTCACAAGGAGCAACTTTACTAGCTGCTCTAAGGCTCGCCCTTAGATGCATTCATTTGTAAGGGGAAAAAATGAATTCACATAAATTACGTTAATTACCGTCTTATTTGTAAAATAGCATTTACTTTAAGCCAGTGTTTTGGTATTAGTATTTTGAGTACACACATCCCAGTTATAAACCACAAAAATGAAAGGAGAGCAGTGTCATTGCAACATTTGAACTACCAACTGCTTGGAAAGACAGCGAATTTACTTTGTCAGCTTGTGTTTGAAAACAACACTGGGAATAGAAACAGACAAGGTCAAAATTCATAAAAAAGAGGTACGTAGAAAATATTTGGTGTCTAATGATTCAAAAATGAAAAGTGGCATAGCATATTGCATTGAGTTTTGTATAATGAATCCAAGGAATCTTAATTAAAAGCCAACAGATAATCCCTTGAACCCTCACCCCAATTTAGGAAAGTCTACCCATTGGTTGGCAAAACGAATAAGAAAAGTCACATGAAATGGGATGTCAACAAAATGTTATGATAGAGACACAACTATTTGTTTGATTCCCACAAAAGTACAAATCTTTGCCTCTTATGTACATTTATTCATCTCTTATCTATATGATTGATTTTGTCCCATAGCTTTCTTCACATCCCCAACAAAAATATCCTTCCTTTCAGAATCTGTCTGTAACTACATTTTTATTTCCCTTTAATCCTTGTTGAAAAATGATGCATATTCTTTTTTCTGACAATTTGTTTTCCATTTGATGCATGTTATCAAAGTTCTAAGTAATTGCATAAGGTAGGAGAGGAAAAAATATATATTGAAGATTTTCAATAGCATTTCAGAATATTACTAGTGATTGGTTTATTTCTGCATATTCCAGCTAAGTCATTAGGGGGAATAAAAATCACAATTCTAACAACCATTTTGGAAGGGCATCCTATCCTTCCCCCTCAGCTTTTCAATCAAGTTCACTCCCTGCCCAAATCCCTAGCTCTCGGTGTGAAAAGAACATATCTATGCCTCTCATGACATAAAATTTAGAAGGAATACTTCTAATTCAGAGCTAGAGTATTTTGAGCTATATATCATGGAACTAACATTCCACATAATAATGTTGTGTGATATGAGCGACTAACTTGAAGGTTCACAAGGAAAACACTCCATCAAAATTACATATTGAGCCATTCTGACCAAGCTCTTATCCATAAAATCAGTGTCATCGACCACACAGCATATTCATAAATTATTAAACAACCCAACAATACACAAACAATTTTTAAAGACTTAATGAACTATCTTCTTATCAAGGATATTAAAAGGTTTAAAAAAATTAAATATATGAATAAATAGAGTTTTAGCTTAACATAACTATAATTGCAGTGTTGAAATGCTGAGTATTTAATGTACTCACCAGCAAAAGGAGAGAGAGTGTTCTGTTTATTGTAGATATGATGGGTAGCATGAAGATGTTTGTAAAGTGGTTTTATGTCGTGCAGCTCTCTGTGCATCCAATAAATACCAAACTCTACAATAATTAGATAAATTGCTAAATAAAAAAGGTAGGCAGGCCAACCAACATGATATAATCTAGGAAAGGACTTTGTCCAGCCAATTTCTGTCAGGTACTCAGAAATACATGGAAGCAAACTGTACCAAGGCATGGCTTTCATGGCAACAGATATTTGCAAGAGCATGGCTCTACGTGAGGGAATGGCATCTGCAACAGTAGATTTCAATATATCAAGAAAACAATGTTACAAAAGGTCCTATAAATACCTTACACACAGAAATAAAGAACTACTACAAAGACTGACAATCTGACACAAAAACTACATACATGGATACTCGATAAAAGCCATTAGTTTAGCAATGAAAAGCCATACACGAGTTCTGGTTAGTTGAGTTTGACATATGCTGACTCAGAAACCTTTAGAGCCAGTTAAACATGGATATAAATAACTCAGACTGACTGAGACAGTAGCAATCTAGAAACAGAACATTTCATGCTGCCGCATGACATAAAGCAAGAGGTAAAGCTATTAGGGTAGAAATCAAAGATACAGATACACAAAATCAGCTTATCTCTTAGTTGTGGATTGTAAAACATAACTATTCTGCCATCTGGCAAGTTGTGGTAAAAAATAATCCATTATATTAAGTTTCAACAAGCCATCAAGCTGCAAGAGGTGAAGTAGAATACAAACTTCAAATTCTCCTTTATGGCCAACTAACAATTGCTATGATTTAGAAAGAAAAGCTAAAGAAAATTGTTAGGGGCTATCTGAATGAGGTCCTAGTCAATTAATCTAGGTACGCAACGATAAACATCAATATTCTGATTAATAAACCAATCCTTTAGCGGTATGATCCCTCTTGTAAAATTTACAGTTGCACATTTTTAAAATCATATTAGTATTTGTAATAATGAAAATGGCCCAAATAAGCCGCAAACAAGGAACACAATTAGGATTCTCCACTGATGAAAAAAAAGCCAGAAAACAGATGTCTACAGCATCTTAGAAAGACCATAGGGGAGTGTAATAAAAGCCCTCTAGTAAAGCATAAAGATAAGTGGCCATTTCAAAAGGAAAATTCAAACCACAACTTCTAATAAATTCTAGCACTGGATACGATCAACTCTTACTCAGTAATCTAACTTAACCGAATGTCAGCAATATGTCTTATTTGCGGGAACATGCATTATGTTTGGTTCAGTGTTTTTTTTTCCAGAACAAGTTCAGAAGTCTCTAATAGTTGCTTAATGCTCAGTGAAAGTTCAAAAACTTGAACAAATCTTTTTGCCCAGCATATTATTGAGGAGAGTGAAAAACTACCTGAACCAATTAGGTGTATCAATATTATCTGACTAAAGGTTGAACTGAGTATTTATTTGTTACATAGTCACAATTAAAATAAGATGTTACACAAAAACAGATGGAAGAATCCACTTAAATTAACCAGCTTAAAAAAAGAACACTCATAACTCCAAACAATCCTTAGAAGACATAACTCCAAACAATCCTTAGAAGACACAATACATCAATACATGAGAGAGTGAAGCAGAATACAGATCCAAAACAAGAAAATAAATCTGAAGAAGGAACCATTTGCAAAATATAAATAAAAAAACTCTCTTCTTTTTTTGGATTATTAAAAATATTAATATAAAAATATAAAGGGAAAAATACAAAAATTAACACTGATCAAATTTGTCAAAATAATCAAAGGCAGCTGTTAATGGAAAATAAACCAGATATCAGCATAAACACTTATCAAAAGCAGCACAGTATATCTAAGATGAATAGCTTCAAAGAAACAGTAAAAAAAAAGCATAAACCACTGAAATCACAGTCTGGAAGACTGAAATCAAGAAACTAGAAACACAGACAGTGAAGCAAAAACAAAAACGCCCAAAAAGAAAAAAGTCAAAATCATAGCAAGAAGGAATCAGATTAACAAGTAAAGCAAAACCCATTTTACATCAGACCCTAAATATGACATCTTTAACAAAAAAAAAGAGGAATCCCAATAAAGACAAAAAAAATGATGATATCACATAAAAAAAAAAAAAAAAAACCAAGAGAAGAGAGAGAGACCTTTGGGGACATAAACGTTACCCTTCCAATAGTAAATATAGAAACACCACGAGAAGCCAGAGATGAAGTAGAGAAGAACGCCACCAATGTAGTTACGAAGCCATGTCTGCAAGAACCGAGGGAGTGGGACCCACACGCACTGCGGCAACAATGTTCCCAGTAATATGCGGTTGTACCAGTCGGTGTCTTCCACGAAGAGTTCACGATACTCGTCCATGAAAGAAGAAGAAGAAGAAGAAGAACAAGAAGAAACAGAGAGAGAGAGAGACAGAGAAAAGAGGGTTTATGCAAATGAGTGAATACTATGTTTTCTTAATTAACACCATTTACTATTTCATTTAAGGATTAACACATTTACTTCAATCTTGTTAGTTTCTTTGTACATGCAGCTATCAGGTCATTTCACCAACTCGATTTGTTCCCAGATCATACAATCACAGAAGGATATTTTGGTCCAATATTCGCGGTTCCTTTTTCATAACCTCGGGCAAAAAAGTATTTCACCTAATCTAATCAATGTAGTTCGTGTGTTGGTTGCCGTACCTAGCTTCACACACAACAGCGAACAACCGGGAAATATTTTTACTCGGGAAGGTTTCCCTTTATTGGGTACCAAACGTCGCATTTTAAACTTTTTCCAAGTTTGCTTTTCCAGGTTACCAAATATTATCCGGTACCAAACGCCCATTAATGGGTGTTATAACTCTTGTTGTTGAGCGAGCACCTTCAGTATTTCTATTTTCTACTACCTCTCTCTCTCTCTCTCTCTCTCTCTATGTCGGTGTTAATTGTTTCCCATTCATCATGCACGTACGTGCCTTGTAATTATATACAAGTGGACTTATTATGATATACATGACGGTGTACGTCTAATAATCTGATCATTCATAAAACGTGTGCTATCAAATAGCTACTGAATATAAGTTTATATACTTAAGCTACGAAGCATTGATACACATTTTTGATACGATGATACAGGATGTAGATTATCAAACAATACGTTTCTGATACGCGTATCCCATACGTTGGAAAAAATTTTTAAGGAATATCGGTGCTTCTTAGTACTTAAGTATGATATACAATATCCTAACTACCTGCTTATCTAAGAATCCACTAAAGTAATGATATAATTATCCTAACAATATCAAACAACAAAAATTACTCACGATAAAAACCTTATCCTAACAGTAAGGGAGTTGAATTCTACTACAATTGAGAGATCTCAAAGACCCAAGTCTACGAAGATAATCCTTATAAATAAGAAGCTAAAGATAAGATATCAGGTACACACTTTTTGACCTATTTATTATTACTGCTAACACTGTACACACCCACGTCTTGGTTATAAATCTATTGCTCGTGTGCGGTGATTGTGATATTGGCTATAAGCCAACCAAGATACCTATCTCTAGGATATCTCTGAGCGCATACCATACGGTATAGCAATACGGTCTTCTAGGACCTAACATTGTAAAGTATTTCAATAAAATTTTTAAAATACATTATATTTTTTTTTTACTTAAATCTCATAATAATGTAACTATAGGTTGCATTAAATAACTTTATCCTCTTTTATAGAAAAAAAAAACATTTTCCCTGCTAATAATATATTGATCAATACCACGGTAATACCAAAAATGTTTTCAACAAAGTGATCAATTAAGCAAACTAACTATTATGCAGCTTTTAAATTGGTTTAACAGGTATTAAGCCAAAACCATTAAAAAATACATGAAAACTTAACCATTAAACTACAAGTATATATTTATTATAATGCTTTAATTATTTTACTTATTATTTACTCTTATATAATATGGGTAATTGAGTCTCCCGTAATAGTAGACTGTTGTTTCCTTTAACAGGCACAAAAATATTGTGAATCTCACTATTTTTATAAAAAAAATTAGCACGAATTTTAGGATTTAAATTCTCTCATGTGAAAGAGTGGACATTTATTTATGTTATTTATTTAAGGGTTTTATAAGAGTTATGTTGTAGGAAAAATTAGGGGTGTCAATATGGGTTGACACGACAGGAATTTGACACGACACGAATTCGACACGACACGAATACATCAACACGAACACGACACGAATTTTCATTCGTGTCAAAATCTTCAACACTGACACGACACGAATTTTTTGCGGGTTGACACGACACGACACGAATAACACGCAAAATAGAGGACAAAACGGTAATTGACAAAAAAAAATTAAAAAATAGATCGAAAATAAAGAAAAAATTAAAAAATAATAATAAAAAAATAAAAAAAATAATAATTAAAAATAATACGGGTCGACACGAACACGAATTCATAAACACGAACACGACACGAATTTTTTGCGTGTCATTTTTTCCAACACGAACACGACACGAATTTTTTTACGGGTCGACCCGCGTGACAAAACCCATATTGACACCCCTAGGAAAAATGATTGTGTTATGTTATAGATATTCGTTTTGCGTGCCAAAGTTTTTTTTTTTTTTTGCTGCGGGCCCCACAAAATGTTGTGTGTGTAGGAAACTTTTTGTGGTCATGTTAAATGATAGATGATAAACCCTTTATTTAAATAACATAAATAAATATCTCAAAATTTTAAATTTTGTATATTAGTAATCAAATAACTAAGAAATTTTTTTTTTCGTATGACTTAACATCTTGTATTTTGCTGTCTATTTTCACTTGTTCATCCATATGCATCAAATACAATGTGCTTTGAATTCAATCAATGATGATTACACCATTACTAAATCATTTTATAGTCACACTCACTTTAAAAAAAATCTTATTTAATAAATAATTGCCTGCATAATAAATGTTTTAATTTGATGTAATGCACCAACTAAGAAATAATATGAAACCTTGTGTTTAAATAGTAACATACTATGTTGATAAGTTATTCAATTCCTATTATATTTTTTCAATAGAATACTATCCGTTTGAGAAAAATATTACTAGCTAAAGAAAGTGTTAAGATTGTGATTAGTAGATTAATATTTGTTAGATATTATTTTATTCTTATCTTACTTTTTCTGTTATAACAAACCACCTTTAGTGCAACAGTGGTTCGTTTTTTTTTTCTTTGGTCATTTTGTTACAGTTTGTTAGGAGATTCCATTTGCTTCTTTCTCTTGTATATATATTAGAGATATCATTTGTGAAGGGACACATATATGAATATACAGTTTTTCTTCTAATATGGTATCAAGAGCCTCTAGGTTATTTCCATTTTTTCTCTGGTTTTTTTGCCATGGCCAAGGGCCAGCAACCTCTGAAACCACCACCACAAATCCGATTGAGGACACAAACAGTCCATACTATTTGCACAATTTCAATCATCCAGGTCTTGTGCTTGTCACTCATCTTTTCACTGGGACAAACTACCACACATGGAGCAGAGCTATGTCAATGGCTCTCACTGCTAAGAACAAATACCAATTCGTTGATGGCTCACTTCTTCAACCAGACTCAGATGATTTACTTTCTTCTTTTTGGATTCGATGCAACAACATGGTCACTTCCTGGTTACTGAATTCCATTGCTCGTGAGATTCTGCTTCTGTCTCCTCTTGCTCACGTGTCCGGTGAGTCACCTTCATTTTCTTCTTCAGCCTGGATCTTAGAACAGGCGCAACACATCATATATGTTGCGACCTCAATCATTTTCTTTCCTCTTCTCCTATTGTTGATTTTTTTGTCAATCTACCCAACGGGACTTCTATTTCAGTGCCACGATTGGGTTCTGTCCGCATATCTCCATATTTAATTTTACCATCCGTGTTGTATGTGCCAGATTTTAAATATAATCTTTTATTTATCAGTTGTTTAACATCTTCCTTCAAACTCAATCTCTCTTTTTCATCCTCTTCGTGTATTTTGCAGGATCTTACCACGGGCCACACGATTGGGACGGCTGAGAGACAAGGTAATTTGTATGTCCTGCATGCCGTCTCCAATGGTCTTATAGCACAGGTCTCATCCACAAAATTATCTTCTCTCTGGCACATGCGTTTGGGTCATCCCTCTTTTTCCCGTTTACATGTTTTACAACATATGTTGCACTTGTCTACAATTCCAAACACTTTTTGTAATGTGTGTCCTTTGTCTAAACAGAGGTGTTTGCCTTTTGTTTCAAATAATAACATGAGTTCTTTTCCTTTTGATTTGGTTCATTTGGATATCTGGGGTCCTTTTTCACCTGTCTCTGTTGATGGTTTTCGTTATTTCTTAACCATTGTTGATGATTATAGCAGGTATACTTGGCTTTATTTCTTACGAGCCAAATCTGATGTTTTACAATTTTTTCCTGAGTTCCATACTATGATTAACACTCAGTTTCATGTGAATATTAAGGCTGTCTGGTCTGATAATGCTCCAGAATTTAACTTCTCTGATTTTTTCAGAACAAAAGGTATTGTGTCTTACCATTCCTGTGTTGATAGGACCTATATCATTTTCAGTTACTCATGAAACATCCCAACTAACGAGTCTTGAGCTTCACTCATACAAGTTCTAGATTGCTTCCTCACAAAGAAAATCACACATAGATATATATCCTCACAAACATGGCAAACAACCATAAAATTAAAGCATACACTTCAAAATGCATGTAATAAGAAACCATATGAAGTGAATGGTGAGGCAAATACAATTGAATATGGTAGTGAAGAAGAAATTAGGTCAACAAATATCAAGAATGTTTTATCTATCATCAAAACTAGCCAATCATTTGGGGGAGGAAAAAAGTTCTCAATCATTTTTTTTTATAATACAAGCTTTCCAACAAAGTATAGATCACTAAAATTGGAGTTCTATAACTCAAGATATAACAAGTTAAAGTATGCTATCTAAAAACAGAGTAATCAACATTTCTTATGCTCATAAGCAACAATGATTTTCAACTTAACATTATGCATACAAGCTCTTAACATAATAAACACTATCAATGGAAAGTGTAGGTTACTTACCAATTTTACTTATGCTCATGATTTTACCTTTGTACTTGACAGCAAAAGTCACATATCCATATTGGAATGTTAGAGTGAGACAAATCTGGAAACATCTCTTGACATATTCTTAGAACAACCATTGTCAAGATACTATAAGTTGTTCCCCCTCACTCCAACCTGCATTCTTAAATTCACTTGTTAGGTTTGGGAACCCAGACTAGCTTGGGTCCTTTTCTCTTTGCAACAAAATTAGAAAGCTCATCTTTTATAATCCATTTTTGTTTTACTTTGCATGTGGAAACATAATTTTTATTTTTAATGTATGATATATTCTTTTCATGAGTATTGAATCTAGCCATGCAATCATATTT